GTGGGGGGACTTGCCGGCTTTCGCAGGGCACTGGAGGGGGTCAGCAATAGTGGCGTTTTCCATACGGATCCCAATTCGTCAGTCACGACTGATGTAACGTCGAACATGACTGACTGAAAGGGAACATCTCGGTTACTTGTGTAACACTCGTTCCCTGAAGGAGGGAACGGAGACATTACGTTCCGTCGCCACAGTTGCTGTACCACCGCTGTATGGCCGGGGCGCATAGTCTCGGCTCCTCAGTGACGGAGACATTACGTTCCGTCGCCACAGTTGCTGTACCACCACTGTATGGCCGGGGCGCATAGTCTCGGCTCCTCAGTGACAAACTGATGTGCGTTTGCACGTGCTCTCCTTTTATACCCGTGCTGCGGGGCGGGGTGCGGGGCTCTCGGGCGAGATCCCAATTTGTCAGTCACGACTGACGTAACGTCTCTGTTCCCTCCTTCAGGGAACGAGGGTTACACAAGTAACCTAGACGTTTCCTCAGATGCTACTTAAATAGTTTTTTATCAATATTGCTGTTATTGTTACACAAAAGTACAATACAACCGAAAAACATAAACCAAACTGCTTATTTGATAAATGAGATCATCAGTCAGATATGAGGAGTGAGATACTGCACTACGAAAAAGGTTTTGAACTGCTACGCAATGCTTGTTTCTCTCTGCATGCACCAGCAACATATAAGTGAAGCAGCAACATTTCTGCTGCTGCGGCTCTATACAGAAACTAAATTGATTTCTGGCTTACTACATTGATTATTTTCTTTAATAATACCCCTTATTATAAAATTGTTATAACATAACTTAGTTCTATAATGCTTATGCTACACTGCTTAAGTGTGAACATCCAGGAAGGGTGTGACAAGTCAGTAAACAACACTGCTTACAAATACTCGGTTTTAATAAATAGGTTTACATTTTGGTGATTTCTCTCCCTATGATATACAGTACATTCAGCCTGCTTGATCATTTATTCCACTATGCAACTGTTTGTCTGACTGACTGGCAGTTGTGTTTTTTTTTCACTGTGAAAATGATTCACAGAGTGACATTTCTTATTGCACTTTTTTTTAACAGTATCCTTTAAATGGAAATTCTTTGTAACAAATTTTCAATGTTAGTCTGACAGGCA